GTGTTGTAGCTATATCATGGAATATTAAAAGTGCAGAATGATATATAAAGGTAAGTTTTTTTAAAAAGCATTGATACAAAATCATAGAAGGCTGTATTAAAATATAAAAAATAAAGGGATGGTTTCTCAACATCTCCTGCATCTCAGTCTATGCACTTCTCAAGGGCGTGCTTCCAGCTGTCCAGCCCCTCTTCAAGGACTTCTGCACAATTCACCTTACACCGTATCAAAGCAGCAGTTTGTACTTTCCCAAGGGTCTCAAATAATGTACTTTCGAAATGTTCCCTTGAGTTTTTGGAAGAACAACAATATAAAAATGCCTACATAGGCAAGATCAGGGCTACAAGGTAGATTCACTTTTCAAATGAAATTCTCACAGGACAACCTTGTTATTCTCAAGAATGAACAGGCGCATTGTCATAATGGAAGAAACATTCCTTGGTGCAAATTTGCTGGCTTTTTTCTCACTAATGTAGTTCTCAATGTTCTTAAAACCTCTTCCCAATAAGTGCTATGATTAGCTTGTGTCCTTTGAGAATATTGATAAAGATTAGCCTGTTAAAATTTCAAGAAAACAGTGGTGGTAACCTCTGAGCTGAGTTCTATGCCTTGAATTTACCCTGCCCACTCAATCCCCTCAGAAACACTGCTTTGATTTGGACCTTATTTTTGAAGACACCCGAAAGAGACCAGGACAAGTGTCTTACTTAGAGATAAGTCTCCAGCCATCCACGAACCGCAGAGACGTGGTTGAGCTTATTAGGTTTGGAATAAAGCTGGATGTGGACTCGAACCTTATAGTGGTGCTTTGGAACTTATCCGTGTATGTGAGAGGCTTCAAAAAGTTCATGAATTCTTTTATACAACGACAGAGATCTCTGAAAAGGAAATCAGGAAAGCAATATCGTTTATAATAGTCACTGCAAAGATGGTATGCCTAGGAATAAATCTAACTAGAGAAACAAAAAGACTTGTGCAAAGAAAACTGCTAAATACTACTACAATAAACCAAGAGAGGCTTACATTAATAGAAAATATACTTTGCTCAAGGATAAGAAAACTGAACACTGTGAAAATGCTAATAGTCCCCAACGTGATGTGCAGACATATGAGGGGGTACTCCACTGCAAAAAATCAGAATTGCGCTGGATGGAATGGAGTTTTGTAGTCATTAGGTGAGCATCAAGCAATTTTCTCTGAGTTAGTGCACCCAAGGTTCTCTCTGGTTACAATGAATTTTTTCGTAAAAGCAGTTTTGCTCAAACCTCATTTTTTGTGATGGCTGATTCAAGAGAACAGGATGCAGTTGTGAGATTTTGTTTTCTGCTCA